TTAATAACAACTAATAAAAGACCAATACAAGTGCATCAATACAGTAGTGATTTACAGTAATATTTTATGACCCCAAAGGAGTTCCCATATAAAAGTAAGTATAAAGAACATGAAACAATAAAAAGCAATGTTCATAAAAATCACAGTATACTTTTGCGAATTTCTTTATTATTATAAAATAATAAATGAATAACGCACAACGTTAAAATCGATACACAATTAAAAACATTTTTAAAATGTGGACTCTACATGTTTCGATGTTTACCACGTCATCATCACGAGGTAAACGTCGAAACATGTAGACTCCACATGTTAGAAATGTTTTTAATTGTGTATCAATTTTAATGGATCGTACGACCAGTCTGTATAAACTAATTCACTTAAGCGAAAACCCGTGACGGTTTAATGCGCATATGTGCTTTGATTTCACACACCCTATGTGAGCCAAGTTTACATTAAAATAAAAGTGTCTTTATCTTTCACTTGCCTTTATCCTTGTTTTCAGTGTATTCAGGTTTTCTTATACGTAGTCATGCTTGTTTCTCGGCCTAGTTTTCCTTCAGTTCGTGGTCACAGATGTTTACTCCTTGTACTGGTGTTTTTTAGTGAGGCATGGCCTAAACTGTTATGTAGAACACCACCTCCTCTTGCGTACCATCTGGCTTTTCTTACTTACTCTACTTATTCATAACTTACGTTTTCCTACTTCCTAACGCCATTTATTCTACTTCTCATTTTATTTTCGAGAATATGGCTTCTGTGAAGAACAGCAAACTAATGTATATATATTTATACATACAAATACTTTTCACGCTAAAACTTCTTTGCAGGTAAGATCAATTGGTGTTTAACACACGGAAAATGAAATTGACACTTCACAACCACTACGAAAGTAATAATGTGTTGTTTTTTTTGTTTGAATTTATGCACAAAGCTACACAATGGGTTATCTGTGCTCTGCCTACCACGGGTATCGAAACCCGGTTTCTAGCGTTGTAAGTCTGCAGACATACCGTTGTGCCACTGGGGGGCAGTAACAATGTGAGTGAAACTATAATTCCCAGAATATGAGCAACTCATTAACTCTTTCAGATGGTTGTGGCTTATAAATCATTTTATCATCATCCAATAAACCGAATCACACGATGTTCTAAAAATAATAATAAATGGTACAGTCACAATGAGAGCGACACTTTCGGTATTTCGTAAATCCAAGAATTTGTTAGATTTTAAAAAATAATATTATATAAGTATATGGGTTCTGGTTTTGTTTTTTGCCAACTGTCGAAATAAATTATTTTTATTTCTTAACAGTATAAATATATACTACGTAATTGTTGGGCTTAGGATTCTTCTACAGTAGGTGTCTGTGACTTGTTAGCGATAAATTCAATGATGAATAAACAGCACACACTTTACTTGTTTTCATAAAATATGTATATTAGGAACAGGTTAAACGTGCGTACAATAAAGTGTTCACACTATAGATAATATAAGCATGTCGTAAACGTTATATCAGTATATGTATAGTTCTCCCCTTCTTGTCAAAAGTCCACTTACACCTGTTCAATTACTTTAGAATCTCAGTTGAAAAGCCGAACTATTTTCTCTAATACTATCGCAATATTAGTCCGGTGTGATTCACTTACGATTGTGGTCTTCTTTCTTCTGAAGATCTTATGTTCCTTTTGTCAAAGTGCACTTAGGCTGATTCAATTACTTGAGAATTTCGCTTTAACGGAATAAACTTATTTTTTTCTTCTTTCTTTTTTTCCACTGTTAATTTCACTCTAATATATGTATCCAACGTTAGGCTGAGTCAGTCGTTAGGCCTATCACTTTTATGTTACTTAACTTCACACCTTCTCTTTGCCTTAACCTGTCTAATAATGTCTGTATGCTGCTTCCCGCTCGTCTCACGCTATTTATATCGTTATTACATAATCGTCTGGCCACTTTCTATATTCTCTACACCAGTTAGTTATTAACAAAAGCTTCGACAATCGTCTGCTTTTAACTCTTATTATAACAAAACTTGAAAATGATAAAATATTCACCCATAAAATAGAAATTAATCACTAATATTTAAACCAAACAATCTTCTATACCATCACAAACTTGCTAAAGCCTCATTGGCATTATGCTACATAAAATTATATTTTACATAGGTTTATCAAAACTGATAATTAATTGAACATTTTAATAAATAATATTAACTGTACTGTTTATCAATATAACGACGTTGTGATAATGTACGAAGCTATTATAACATTTAAACTTTAGCAATAACTACAGTACATCCGCTGAGAACGACCCAGAACGATCGAGGTAAATACGTTTGTACCTTTGATGGCTCTTAGTGACATGACAGTAGTATTCTCTCGCTCTTGGTGGCATGACAGTAGTATTCCCTCGCTCTTGGTGATATGACATTAGTTTTCCCTCGCTCTTGGTGACCTGACAGTAGTATTCTTTCGCTCTTGGTAACATGGCAGTAGTCTTCCCTCGCTCTTGGTGACATGACAGTAGTATACCCTCACTCTTGGTGACATGACAGTAGTATTCCCTCGCTCTTGGTGATATGACAGCAGTCTTCCCACGCTCTTGGTGACATGACAGTAGTATTCCCTTGCTCTTGGTGACATGGCAGTAGTCTTCCCTCGCTCTTGGTGACATGGCAGTAGTCTTCCCTCGCACTCATATTTATCTGATTTACATCCAGTTACGTGTTATTTAAGAGTTTTGTTCAATGTCATATCTAACCTAAAAGATTGTGTCTACCTAATAAACTTAAATGATGTGCAGCGTTAATAAAAGTTCTACAACCATAATACAAGAGATGTTCTACGGCATACTGAGATAAGGCTGAGCTCTGACTTGTACAATATCCAGATTTAACATACCAAGTGTTTTGTTACGTCTTACAATGTGAACTTACCAAATGTACATCAGACAACCAGAGAATTTTCAATCGGTTTTCAAATCGAGAGCATAATTTCCGTAAACTTGTAAACAAATACCAGCATTGTTTCAACCAACCGCAGTGAAAGTTAAGACTGTGACATATGTACAACTAAAATAAATTAATCTATTATACGATATAAATATGGAAAGTTATAGCTAAAACCTCAGCCTTTAATCCATAGAGAAACGATTTTGTGTATATGTTATTAACTCCAACAACCAAAACCATCATAGAATACAGAAACAGAGAGATAAGATATCACTTTTAAGTTGACATTTAAGAAACTTATCAATAAAAAATGTTGCATTTAGATAGTGAAGCGATTCACATCGTGTGTTACTTTTGCAAAAAAAAATTATTTAGTTTCAGAATATATCTGCCAAGTAGAGTAAGTTGTTCTTTAAAATGCAAAGATCCGATTGAAATAGATCCTACCGAAAAAACACAATAATAATTACATAAATATTAAGGGTTAAAAAATGTGGATAAATCATCCCTCTACAAAGGACTTTTGAAATACATAAACCTTTTGCATAACCATGAGGTTATTTTATTATTCAGATTGCAAAGTTAAAAGCCATTACCCGATGTGGAGCTAGTTCCTGAAGTGAACAATTTAGTAAAGTGGATGGAACGTACACAGAGAAGAAACAATATCAATGGGAGTGAAAGAGTGATTGACTGCTTCTCTAGATAAATGATTATTGAGTTCTGAGCATTTATACTAAAAACGTAAAGTTGCTGTTTAAATATGGCTATTTCTATATTGATTGTTTGTTTTGTTTGGAATTTCGTGCAAAGCTACACGAGGGCTATCTGCGCTAGTCGGCCCTAATTTAACAATGAAAGACTAGGGGGAGGGCAGCTAGTCATCACCTCTCATCACCAACTCTTGGGCTACTATTTTACCAACGAATAGTGGGATTGACTCTCACATTATAACGCCCCAATGACTAAAAGGGCGAGCATTTTGGTGGGAACGGGATTCGAACCCGCGACCCTCAGATTGCGAGTCAAGCGCCTTAACCACCGGGCCTTCTATATTAACGTTTTCCAAGATTGCGTTGGTAAACATATACTGTATTTAAATTCTACATACTAGATAGCAAGAAAAAAACACATATTTGTGCTGAACACTAAGACCAAAATCAGATTCAAAAGACATTGATCATTTCTATTGCACATTATTTCTAATCCTGTTGCTTTTCAAGTAACTCCTTTTCTGTCTGTACAAAGAAACAAATGTTCCTACATGCATACTGTCGTTGGTTAAAACCATAATTTGTGATCAATATATATATATGTGCAGATTGAAATATTGATGTTTTAATTTCCGCAGTTAATGGGCCGAAGTAATGTTTTTATAAGAAATGAATAGAAAATATATTCAGGCTATGTTACTGATAAAATAATTTATGGTTATATAACCCAGGAGTAATCATTTACATGGTTTATTGTACCTTTATATGCGAATGTAAAACCCCGTTCTACCGATCACATGACGCCAGAAACTATAAAATATTAAAACACAGGAGGTTTCAGGTATCAATTAACTCATACGCGAGCTATGCGACGCTCGGGGTAATTGCTTGCTTGTTTCTCAGTTTGACTAATTTACCTAATTTATAATATGAAAGAATTATTTGAAGAATATCGTCACGTGTGAATTGTTTTGAACGACCAACGTGCATTGTTTGGGAACCATTCCAGATATTCACCTTCACAACACTTTATTTAACGGCCTGATGTATCTCAGTAAGTGCTGTATGGTTTAGGCATTGGGACTTAGATTAACGTCGGAATATACTACCTCTACGGCGGACATAGCGTTAGATATAGCCCATACACTGTACAGCTTTACAATGATATAAATGAACTTCAAAATGTATACAACGTTACAGTTGTCTTGGGTGTTTCGTAAAATGATTTATTGTTAGAATACAGTGTAAAATTTGTCCTGCTTCGTGAATCAGGAATATTGAGACATATAGTGTATTTTGCTGAGATAAAACACTGCAGAACCATTAAGCAGATCCATATTTCTTTAATATCTCAATATACTCACTGAATACAACGAAGATATTTGTCTATTATAATGGAAAGTTCGGTAGATACTTAGGAATTTAACACAGAAAGCTGCGTATATTCACACCTGATGTCATATTATACTTAGATGTTGCAAAATTGGAAATTTCTAGATAAATCATAGAATTCTTAGATATTCTACCATCAAAATAATAAGTTACAAAATTCTTAGAATATACACTCTCACAACACTAAATCGAGGGGCTCCTATACAATATACACTCTCACAACACTAAATCGAGGGGCTCCTATACAATATACACTCTCATAACACTAAATCGAAGGGCTCCTATAAAATTTATACTCTCACAACAATAATTTACAGGTGTATCTCCTGAATATTAATTAGGAGCTTGAAATATTGGATATGTAGACGTTGTAGTTTCTCAGTAATCGTTTAGGATATTGTACACTTTACCAATCTAAGTAACAGACTAGAAAATAGTTATACGCATTTAAATTACCAGGGACTTTTATATAAGTTTACAATAAATACTAGATCAACGGACTGTAGAATTCATACACTCACAATGTTGACAATAATACATTTCACATTAAAAAAAAAGGACAACCTAGAGTAATTTTGTGTTTTACGGCATGTAATGATATTATTACAGATGTAATCATTCTCTCAGTGCCGGTTTGTGAAGCTATGATACATATATGAATCAAATGAACGATGTGAGTTAGTGAATGACATTCATTATTACGTGAGCAACGTTTCTATCAATTCAGTTCAACAGGTATAGCATTATAATTACTGCAGGAAGTACAATACCTAAACAAAAAAACTGTATAAGTAAAATTGTAAGTTGTGTATTTCAAGTTTTTTTTTTTATATTGGAAATATAAAATTAATATAGAAGTTCATCTGCTTCACAAATAATTATTAGAGAAAAAAAAACATGTATCGACTAAATCATGAAAAACCGGAGCTACAAAGACTAGTGTTTTATAATCTTCGTCTCCCTCTCATTCAGTCAAACTTTATTACAAGGAACTATTTCTAAGCAAAGAGTCTTACGATGCTCTCCTACTGATTCTTCGGACCACAGGTCAAGTGCTGATCTGATTTCAGAGCTCATTAATTTTTATCAGTCTTTCATTGATCCCTGAGTCACATGTTTTTAATTTGCCCACACACGCTTTAGTTCATGAAGCAAGCAAGTTTTATATATAAAGCACATTGACAGCTTTAGCTAAATAAATAACACTGAAGCCAAGATACGCGATAACATCTCTGTACTCTTTACACCTAATGATTTAGATCCATAGATCACCACAGGCCCACCAAAATGTAACTGGCTTTAGTGGAGATCAAGATTTTACAACACAGTTGCATCCGACATCTCACTGTTTCTACCACATCGGAAGCTAGATAACTGAATTTCTTCTCTAGCGTTTTTTCTGTATCGAGTTCTATGTTGTTCCCTTCGTTTCAAGTACCTTGGGCAGCATACACACAATATTTTGGTGAATGCACGTTTAAAGTCGCGACTCCAACAAGCATAAATCACTGGGTTCATTCCAGAATTGATCCAACCTAGCCAGGTGACAGTGGAGAAGACCAGGTCAGGCTTCATGACACAGCTTTCACCACATATTCCCATCAGTATGTTTGTAACGAAAAATGGAAGCCAGCATAAAATAAAAACACCCATCACTATTGCCAGTGTTTTGGCTGCTTTCCGCTCTTTGGCAAGCTTGGCAAGTTTCCGGCTAATAGAGAAGCTCTTGGCATGACGGGCTGATACTCTTAAAGAAGTCTTCTCTGAGCACTCTTCATTCGAAGTCATGGTACTTAATCCACCAGCATACATAGCTTTGTACGTTCCCGGTTCAAACACCCCACCTCGGTGGATTCGGAGCGTCAGCGCAGTGGATTGTTCTCCATTACATGAATATATCAGCTTGGTGCCCATTTTCAGACTACGCTTTTGCTCCATGGCTGCACGGTAAATGCGACAATAAGTAAATACCATGACAGTGAGAGGCAGATAAAAAGAAATTGTAGAAGAAAACACCAGATATCCTATATCATCCGTGAAGAGACACTGATGCGGATGCGGAGGATACGTCATTGCAGCATGCCACCAGGCGATGGCAGGGAAGGAGATCAAAGCCGAGCACACCCACACCAAAGCTATCAACACCCCCGCTTTGGCCGGAGTCATCTTCCTAGGGTAGCTGATGGGATCAGTAATGGCCCAGTACCGATCAAGAGAAATCACACAAAGGTTAAGAATTGACGCTGTGCTGGCCAGTACATCGAAGGAATGCCACAAGTCACACCATACTTGACCGAAAATCCAGTGTTTGTTCATGACTTCGTGAATCGCACTGAATGGCATGACTAAAGCCCCAACCAAGCAGTCAGCCGTGGCCAATGAGGCAATGAAATAGTTAGTAACAATGTGGAGGTATTGTTCTTTAGCTACAGCAACCATAACCAAAACGTTCCCAAATACAGTAGCTACACTAAAAAAGGCAAGAATCACAGCAAGGGCAGGATGGTGAAAACTGATCTTCACCACATCAACTTCTGTAGTATTCATCCAGAAATCTGAATATCCAGATCCACTAAAGTTTCCATCAACCAAACCAGAAGTGGTTGGGCCCCCCATCAGCCAAATCTCATCAATGGTACATCGCCAGTAAAATTTTAACCCATCTTATAAACTAACCTAAGACTTATAAATTAATTAATTAAACATTCTGTATGCTTCTAACTGCGCATTAGTAGATTATATTTCTAGTGCTTAAAAGACCACTTTTGCACGAAGATTCCCTAAAGATCCCATCCATCAGTCGCTGTCAATGTAGTAGTTGATAAATCATGACAGATGGTGACCACGTGATCTTTCCTAATTAGCAAGTTCTTAGAACAGGAAATAAAAAAAGAGTCTTTCTAATGAAGATGTACGGAGGCACATGCTGTCCGGTTTTTGTCAATCAGGTGTTCCAAGATGTTTGATAAATAGACCTTGCTGTTGGAAACTCGTTTCTGTAAAATGGAAAAAAAAACAAGAGAGTACAGAACCTCGAACCAGTCAGACTTAGAATTACGTATATAAATCAACAGAATTCTTAATATGTAGGAAACAAGATAAAATAGATATATATTTGGTTATCATTTACTGAAAAGTATTTACAAACTACTCTTCATTCATTGCGTCCACATTACAGCTAACCCCCAGATAATTCTGGATCACGGCAAAGTTCCAGATTAATAGTCTGGAAGTAGAAATACTGACAATATTAGTAAAAATAGAAAAAAATCATCGAAAAGCACACTTAGAAAATAACAGTGGTAATTAATTTTGTTGTTGATTTTTCATTTATGAAAAGTAATAAATAAATTGAGTTTCATTGACTTTTAGAATAAAAGGTAAATTAATCCATACAAACAAGCAACTACAAAAAAATTTCAATAAACGTGAAAAAAATCGGAAATTTAAAATGTGCATAAATTTTTTCTTGATTGAATTGAAAACAGTAACTATCAAACTACCGTGTCGCAAGTAAAATGTGCTAGCAGCTCGAAACATCATCCAAAAACTTCTAAGGTTAATGCAGTCTACAGAAAACTATAATCAAGTGCAGTCTTCTCTATCTGAACATCCTCTTAAACAAGAGATTATTAAATTGTGTGAAAAACCAATATGGCGATATATTTTAAAATGGGCTGTGGAACAGTGAATTACGTGTGTTTTTGTTACATTTTCTTCCTTTTTTAAGTGAGGTTGTCAAGTTAGTGAACGTTCGGAAAGTCAGAACCTGAACTAACATAAGGCAAATTACCTAAACTAGAAGACTGGGCAATATTCGAAACAATTTTGTGAGGACCGAATATTTGAAAGTGATGTCTCAACTAATTAGACAGTTTTATATGACAAGTATAGAAGAGTAATTTCCTAGTTCAGTTATTCTCTCTCTTCATATTCCATTAGTTTACGTCAAATTAAACAATTAATACGTTATTTATATTTAATCAATAATTACTAAAGAAACGTCGGGTGTCCCCAGTTTTCTCAAGTTTTATATCATGACGAACTTTTCACGGTTAAACAAACCAAGCGTATAGAAGTCCCTAAACGTGTGTTGGTCAAGTGACTCAACAGATACGTTGTTATAGGAGACAGCAGGAGCACCGGTTTCATTCTCTATGGTTTATAAAATGTTGCGGTCGACATAAACGGCGTCCTACCAAAAACTGTTAGAATTTAATTTTGCATAATAAAAGTTCGTCTTTGCTTTATTGTGAACTTCAAATTTTCCAGTATATTAGAAACCTATGGCGACAATAAAGCCCGACGAAAAAAACTTTATTATCATCTCGTATTCGATCACAAATCATCCGTTTCTTGTCAAAGTTGCCAGACTTCGTTATGTGTTTTATGCTTCTCCGTATAATCAAGACCTCTATGAATTATCTTATGCACAGTTCAGCGAGATGTGTTTAACATGTTAGCATATTGAGTAAGACTTTTGTGAATTATCTTACGCAAAGTTAAACAGGATGTGTGTGTGTAGCACTTTAGTAAACATCTTGTGATTGGACGTGTTTAGTCTGCGTACTTTGGTAACGACAGTAGCGACAATCTGCGTAGGTGAGATGTAGTTGACGTCCTAACATGGTTCTGCTGACCTTCCCTTGTCAATGCAATATCTAAGATAGTCATATATGCTCTAGGTTTTGTATTTATTTGGTACTTCACTATAGAATATTTCGTTCTGAGCATTTCTCTGTTGAAAGCGTGGGGTAATTGTTTATGCTGAGATCACGAAGTGGTTTGCGTTTCTAGCTTGTATTTCATTTCGTGACGCTACTACTCATGTGGGTGTTCTCAGAATTTTCTTACTTGCTTGAGATTTATATTTTACTAACATACGAAACCTGTACAGTAAGATAAATATCGATATGTTCTCATCCTTGTAATCGAAACACTACCCAGTCTATTTATGTCTTACTTCTGGGGCATTTTAACATCCAAATATTAACACAATACGAAACCTGTACAGTAAGATAAATATCAATATGTTCTCATCCTTGTAATCGAAACACTACCCAGTCTATTTATGTCTTACTTCTGGGGTATTTTAACATCCAAATATCAACACAATACGAAACCTACCCAATAAGGCCAATATAACAGTCTCGTTTATATTTAATGTTTTACTTCTGAAGCACTTTAACATCCAAATATTAACACAATACGAAACCTACCC